GAGCAGAGGAAGCCCCTGGCTCCAAAAGCCCTCATCTGACTGCTCCATCATCCTCCCAGCACTTCTGGAGCCTCTGGCATAGCACTTCCACCACTGCAATTCTCTTCCAAAAGGTATCTCCTTATCTCCGGACAGATCCTCACCACACAGGTGTTTAAGCACCTGATTTTGCCACCATTTCAGTGGAATTTGTGTCAAGATACAATACTAATTTGAGGAAGGTACACTATGAAGATTAAACCACTTCTATGGTAACCCAGAGATTTATAGAACATTAGTAAAGCTCTTAAGTCAGTGTATTAACCAAACAGAAAGTATCCTGTAGACTCTTCTTCAAAGAGGAGTAAGTGCCTTTAGAGGCAGATTAAAGCATACGTATTATTTGCCCATAGCTGGGATCACATACTCCGAATCATGAGATTACATTGGAATTGCAACTTTCATCTTCTAAGCATTATTCAGCCATGAACCACACTGGATACAGATGAATATCTTGAAAACTTCACAAAGAATTCTGTTTATTTAATTCCTCTGTTATCTACCACACGGGTACAAAGAGCAGAGTTGTGTGGGGTGGGGAGCACTGGGGCTGCTAAAGGAAGTCAGTCCAAGGCTGAAGGCAGGGCCAGCATGCATGGCCTTGGGAGGTGGGTGTCTAGAATTGCACATGCCAGAGCTGAAGAAGGCCAGAACACAGACAAAGGTTTTTGATTTGATGAAGATTAATTTTCTAATGAACACAGAGCTGCAGCACCCACAAAACAAAAGACCCAACAAAAAAGAAATCCAAGGATAAAATCCAAGAAAGAGAGAGAGACGATGGCATCAGAACCTGCTGTTAGAGGGATGTCTCCAGCAAGAGCCACCAATAAAAAACAGAAGACAGAAGCAGTAGGTTTTCTGAATGATTCTGTCTTCACATCTCCTAAGAAACAGATTATACTACAGGGTCTTGAAGAAGTCAGAAAACATTCAGGGCCATCAGATTGCAGGATACCAAAGAACACTGGCTACATATTGAGAAAACCCTATCCTGGTAGGGCCCTCAAAGACCAGATGTAGACAGTTTCTAAAGTGGAAAGGTCTGTGGGCTTCCAAGAGCTTAGATCCAGTAGCACAGCAGAAGGTGACCATCCATGTGAAAACTAACTGGGTTGTAACACTGATTCCTCTTGGTTATTGATAAAAGTTTCCAAATCTGTTTTTAAGTCTATCCTACGTAGCAATGCCTGTGTAAGACTATAAATAGTTTGAAGCATCTCTGAAAGCTCAAGGTATTCCATGCAACTCCAACCTGTAAAATGCAAGTCTTTACTCTTAGGAAGATGGGCCAACCACAGGTGCCTCAGGAGACTCTGGAATTGACAGAAGACATTTTATAACAAAACCAAGAAGGGCCCAGGTTTTCTTCTGAGTCTGAGTGAATGTAGCATCTCAGTGGGACTCAGTTTTAGTAGTAGTACAGTGATTGACAAGATGACAGCATGGCACTCGACGTTAGCACATATATAAACTAGCTGTGATCTGGCACAGGAACAGAGCTAACTGAATTCAGGCCTTATTCGACCTCCTCAAGACTCTGAAATATAGCAGAGTCTCTTTCTTAGGAGACACAAGGCCAAGTTCAGAAAACCTATCGCCTATTGCCTTAAGGTTTTGATTGGTGCCATTTCTGAGGAGAAGCAGCACACCAGAGCCCATCAGGATTTCCAGATCAGTGCTTGGCAGATACTCAAGGATAATGCAAACAGGCTTCTTTTTCTGGACTAAACACGTTTTACAGAACAGTGACATGGGGACAATGTCCTATGGCCTTGGATGAACTGTTAATCCAAAATTTGGAGAATTTACAAATAGCAAGCATTTTACAGCAATTTTGGTAAGATTGATGGGTGGTCTCCTCCGATGATGCTCTTAATTGTTCCAGTAATCTATTTCACTGAAAGCTGTCTGTATTTCCAACTAGATAACTTAATCTTCTGTTCAAAATTACTTTAAGATTATCAGTAAATACATACCACATACAGCTTAAGAGATACACATTTTAAGATATATGCTCCTTAATAAGAAATTATTATTAATAATATGCTTATAATTGGCAATTTTATTCATTTTAATCATAGCAAATTGAAGAACATTAATTTGATTAATTATCTTATAATCGATATGAACACTACTTTTAAGATTTTAAAGAAAATACTACTGTAAGCACAATACTATTAAAATTTCCAAGACAAGGCATAAGAATTCCATAAAATTGTGGGCATGATTGATTTTTTAATGGACTGTTCACTTGTTCTCTGACCCCCTAAGGATTTTTGCTCCTAGCCTCTCGAACACAGTAAATTCATTAAATCCAACCTATTTCCCCAAAGTATTGCATCATTATAAAGGTATATAACATCAAATACCAAGTAAAATGGAGCAATTGAATTATACTGCTAAAAACAC